TTGTTGTATGAATACAATAAATAATGAATTTTATTTAATTAAATAGGTAAGTAAAATGATTTTAAGTTTTTTGTTAATTAATATATCTTTAGTTGATTAATGCTTATTTAATTGAATAAAGTAGTAGTGTACAATTAATAGTTGGTTCAAACATCAATGTATGTATACAAGTCTTATATGCTGAATCATTTGTTGTATGAATACAGTAAATAATGAATTTTATTTAATTAAATAGGTGAATACAATGATTTTAAGTTTTTAGTTAATTAATATATCTTTAGTTGATTAATGCTTATTCAACTTATTATTTAGTAGAATACAATTAATCTTTAGTTGGTTCAATGTGTCTGTATTAAATCATGAATGCACTTTATAAATAATTAATTTATCAATAAATTAATATCTCTTTTAGTTAATAGATTTTTGCACGGTCCTAACATTAATAATTCATTGAGGTTATACTGTATTTAGAAGCAAGTTCTCAAACGCCCTTGATTCGTCGGATTACTTTTCGATGCAAATCTATTATTCATAAATCTCTTTTATTTACATAAATTTCTATGAGGCTATACTGAACTCTGATGCTGAATTCACGAATCAAAATCTTTATCTATTCTATGGGTATTCTCATTGTAATTCATTAGCATTTTACTATAAGTGAGCATCTAACCGTTTCAATTTACGAGCATCCTATATTCACTCTAGTTACAGACGGCTGAAATTTTGTCTATGCAATTGTTGTGAATGTTAATGTTTCTAGATTGAAGAAGATTTGAATTTTTGTAAACATTGGTGTATGTTCAATTACTAATTTTAGTCTTTTTTATTCTTATAGAAGTCAATTTAAAAAATAATAATCAAAATTTACTCCTTAATATGCAAAGGCGTATGATGATAGACTATTTTTCTTTATTTTGATGTTAATGAATGTAGGGTCCAAGCTCTTGATCCATGAGCTTCCTTCAATACTTGATGGTTCAGCTAGAGCAAAAGCAGAAGTACAAGATGACTCTAAAGCTACATTGGCACCCAAGGTACACAAACTCCTTATCTTTGATCTAAAAGTTTATGTAGTTAGATGAGGCCAAATATATATTATTTAAATATTTATCCTCAATACGCATCTCATATGTTGGCAGGATTTATTTTTCCCATTAAATCCTTACACGTGCATATTTTTTAATAAATGGATGACGGCGAGATTTGAACCCAAGTCCCGCTCTATACCGTATTTAGGTTTGGGTTGTATCTTAAAAGGTCCAACATGTTAAGAGAAGTAATCCAAGCCCAATATGTTGGTTAATGTTTTCATATTTATTCGATGTTGAATTTATCCCTTAACGGTTGTTTTGTCGTTCCTACTTTTATCATATATATTTTTGTTGACATCAGCTCAGACATTTTCGAGAAATGTTTTGGTTGAGGTGTTGGACTTGTGTACACCTTGATTCTATTTTATTCTGAGATTCAATGTAAATTCGTAATGACCTTTTTGGGCGCACTGTAGTTTCTGATGTTGTTAACAGGTATTATTCGAAGTTTCTAACCGAAGTTTTGAGGAAATTAGTGCAATTGGATGGTGGATATTTTCTCCAGCGTCCTTTGAATCTGGATTATTGGATCCCATAGACATGGGAAAATCCCCTTTCTCTATGATAATCGCAGAGACTCTCTAGTCTCAATCTCCATTGAGGTTGAAGAAGTTACATTCCACATTAATTGTGGAATATGCCAGGAAGTGGACTGTGATTCATTCAATGAACGACCAACATGAAGAACCCTGTGAGAGATAAACTCGGAGCTAAATGAGCTGACATCTACTAATATGAATGCACTGGATAATTTTTAGCTTACTGAGAACCCTACCTGAGCTTCTAACTCAGCAAAGTTCCTTCTATTCCATTTGGATTCCAAAGGCACCCCAAATTAGTTGCTTGTTCTGTCAATATAGTTATCTGGATGACTCAATATACACACTTCACAGGGACTTCAATGGCCTTCACTCTCCCTCTGAACCAGTGACCTTTGTAGTAGCTGATTGGTTTTTCTTTACAGATTATGTTTGAGGTTCAAAGTTTACTGTTGCCAAGTCCTCAATTCTATCACTGATATAAGAAAAACCGTAGATGGATTGACACTTACAGAAACTGGTATCCTCCCATCGTACTTTCCTCACATTTAGTTGATGTCTGCAACTATGGTTAAGCATCCTATGTACTCATGTCTACTAAGTTGCTTCTATGGGATCAAATTATTAGTAATTTTATTTTGACCTTTTTATAAATTTTACTTAGTGCAAAGGGTGGATTATTTAACCCTTACATTAGTTATTCATCAATTAATTGGTCATTGTTTTGCTTGTTAATTCTTGCAGATAACTCCAGAAGAATCATGGATGTCCTTCAATCAAGAAGCCACAGTCCTTCACAACAAGGTATTATTTCAATTCCCATTTTGATTTGCAATAATAGATTTATGACAAACAGTGTTTCAGGTTCGTGCATTTGCAGGGTGGCCTGGAACCCGAGCTAAAGTTTCAGTACACGATCCCAGAAGTGGTCAGCACAACATTATAGAGCTGAAAATCATCACTTCGAGGGTTTATCGAAACAATATAATTGAGGGTGGTGAAGCAGATGATGTGTTCTTTACTGAAGGCTCATTGGTATTCCCGTGTGGTGGGGGCACGGCACTGGAGGCGAGTGTGACTCTCTCCTCTTCGGTGCATATTGCATTTTTTTTCATGAAATAATACTGAGAGAGATGACGTGCTTCGGGCATAAATTTTTAACGTATACACTCTGGTAACACCTACAGGTATTGGAAATCCAGCTTCCGGGTAAGAAAGTTGTGAATGCACCTGCATTTTGGAATGGTTTGAGAGGTCAAAAACTAAAGAAGTTGTAATCACTGTCATTGCATCAACATAATGATGCAAAACTAGGTAAGAAGAATCCTTCTTTCTCCCCTCTCTCTTTCCACGTCTGTGTTTGAATTGCTTCAAATTTTCAGTTTTCCGATATTATTTCTCTTAACAGCTACTAACTAAGCATTGTTCCCCAATAAATTTGGAATCAGCTAAAGAAATCCTTTTATTTCTGCTAGTCCTTTTGGTTTATTGCTAAATGTACTAGAAGATCCTTTGAAACTCCAGATCCTTAGCAACCACAGGATGCTATTATCTTCTTTTCACCTAATTTATTATACTGAGATCATTTTAGAATGCGTTCTTGCTTGTTTGGGCAGGCATTTTCCGAGCTGACTGCACTAAAGTTTAAATGCTTGTACCTGCCCTATGACGAACACGAAAACCTTGTAGACACAAGTGCCATCATCTGATGATTATTTTTTACTTTATTTTCTTTCTGGTTAAGTGGAGTTGTCGAAGGAGAAAATTCTTGAAATAGTTCACAACTTGGTTTTCTTTTCTCACTTTTTTTTTTTTTTGTAAACCCAAAAAATATTACATGCTTATTCTTCTCTGATAAAAGGAGGTAAAGATATGTATAGTTGCTGAAAACAGACTAGCCAACGTTGGCGAGTTTATATTTGTTTCTTTGCCTGGAAAATGTTTTAATTTAACTTATTATCGATTCATTTACTTATAAGCAAATTTAATTTTCAATAAACCATGCAAAAGTTGTACTTGACTACTTTTGAGCTGTGACAGGATGTTGTTCGTTGCATGGGCCAGCCGTGGATGGCTCACACGGTCTGAAAAAAGCCAGCCGGAAAAAAAGTTTCTGTACTTGGGTAGTCAACAAAGAAGTTCAATATTGGAGGAATGAGATCAGGGTGCAACCACATCAACACTAGACAATCCGATAAAAAATTATTCCGAGCTACATAAAGTAAGCTCGGAAAAATTTCTATTACACGCACTTTTATTTAAAACTTAAACCACAATTAAAAGAAATTGAGAAGAGCCGAAACATTGTATTAAGGGCTCGTTTGGCATAATTTTTGTTTTTACTTTTACTTCCTTTAGAAGGTTTTTTTTTGGAGAAAGCTATCTTAATTTTTGTTTGGAATCGAATTTTTGAAAGAGCTTATTGTGGAATTGCTTTTAGAGGAAGTCGGTCACATTGGACCATTTTCCCCCCAAAAAATCTCTAATTAAAAGAAGTACTTTCATAAAATTAATTAAATGAGTCTAAAAGTAGCTTTTAAGTCTTAATTATGGATGTGGAATCAAGCATCGGAGAAGCAATTATTGTGGTGTTATCTAAAAATAATTGAAAAAGCAGATGCTACACTCATCGAACGAAAATGAAAGCAAACACAAAAGCACTTTACAACATTTTTCTGATTAATATATCAACATAAATAATTCAAGAAATTCAAAAGTATTGTTATCCGCTCATGATTTCAAGGCACATTAGCATAGTTTGCGGGGCATTTGCTTCTTAATTTAAAGTAAATACTGCTACATCACACTATTTTCTGGTGACAACTTGTTCTCATAGATGTGATAGAACACACCATCAAATCAAATTTTATTATCGATCAATTTAGAGTCGACTACATATTATGCATTAATGGTTAAATCATAATCACCAACTCCGAGAGTAACAATAGAACGAAATTATATGCACGCAGAGCAAACGCACATATTTAAAGTGATTCTCCCTCTATAAGAGAATTGTTTTAACTAGTCGTCCGAAATTTTTAATTATAATAAAAAAAGGAGAATAAAAGATTTTTCACCCGACTCTCTATAGAAAAAACGTCTCCATCACCAAAACAAAAAGAAAAAGAATTTTTTATTTTTATTTTTTTACAATAGGAATATTAAAGTGACCTAATACATATACAACGCTCAATTAAATTTTTAGAGATCAATCTACAATCAAGAAAAAAAAATGTGTGCAGTAAAATTAAGTTCCCCACAATCAAAAACTAGTTGAATAATTTGTGTGGGGTTCTCACTCCACAACTATGTAATAAATAGGGAGTGGTGCTTAGCTTCTTTGCTTTGTGCCAAAGGTAATTAGCCGAAAATGGGTGCTCTTGACTATCTCTCAAACTTTTGCACTGTCACCAGCATTAGAAGAAGCAAAAGGAAGCCATTGCAGGTACTCATTACATACAACCTGCACCAACATTTTTTTTATTATCACTTGCTGTCTGTGCACACACGCACCCATGTGGGTCTGTGTGTGTTAAATTTTCTTGTATTGATTATTATGATCTTCCCTTATTTTTGTTTGCTTTCCTCTTAATTTCTCAGACAGTTGAGATTAAAGTGAAAATGGATTGTGATGGATGTGAGAGAAGAGTCAAGAATGCTGTCAAAAACATGAAAGGTGGTTTTATCATCTTACCCTACATGCACGTTCTTCAATTTTTGAAGCTTTTTTCTCTTAAAGTTTGAAGGTTCATTTGAAAATTAGGGTTTTAAAGCATTTGGTTAGAACTTGTATATTTTGAGAGGAATGGTTGATATCCAGTTTCATATATGTCCGATCTCTATTGATGATAATTGGATCAACCAAGATGTATGTCGTCGCCACCCGACCTCAAACTCTTTTTTCATGGCCTGTTTGACTCTCTAACCAACGTAAAATTTAGTTTATTATCGCGTCCAGTACGATCTCATACTATACCAAACATGCACTTCATGTATTATACTATACTATTTCTCGCTCACACCCTCTTAATGTATGTTTTTAGGTGTTACAAACGTGGAAGTCAGACGGAAGCAACACCGAGTTACGGTGAGTGGCTATGTTGATCCAAACAAGGTGTTAAAAAGAGTGAAGAACACAGGAAAAAGAGCTGAATTCTGGCCTTATATCCCTTACAATCTTGTTCAATATCCTTATGTATCCCAAGCCTATGACAAAAGAGCACCATCTGGTTTTGTAAGAAATGTTGCTCAAGCTGTTCCTGTGCCGAATGCATCTGATGAAACAATCACATATCTCTTCAGTGATGATAATCCCAATGCTTGTCACATCATGTGAGGATTGTTTATGTAATTCTCGAGTCGAGTCGAGTGGAAGAAGATGACTATTTTTTCCTTTCATCTTTCGTGTCGAATATGTATTTGAGGTATATCTAATGAATTATCGGACACAATGTTCATTTTGTGTTGCACATTTTTATTTTTCTTAATCCTATCGAGTGCTATATAATCTAGAGGATTGAAGGATCTATAGTCACTTAACTTGTATTGAAGCTTCAAGTTAGTCACCAAACTATATTTTATTTTAATTAGTTACTGAACTTTGTTTTTCTTTCAGTTTAATCACTTAGTTAAATTTCACTTATTTTAAAATGATTAAAATGAAATGAATCGGCAACTAATTTGAAATAAAATGAAGTTTGGCGACTAACATGAATTACACTTTACTGTCGAGTGACTAATTGCATTTTTAAAACCCTAACATTGAGCTTATTAGATGCTTATTCGGTAATCTAAGTCAGAGTCAATAATTAATTTTAACAACGTTTTTTTGTTAAATTTTATCAAAATCTCTATTAAAAATTTAATTTTAATCCCTACCAGATAGGGTGGTAGATGAATTATTATGTCTATGTTTAATTGAGCACAAGACCCTATGTTTGGCATTACTTCTTAAAACTTATAAGTTGATCAAATACCATTTTTATCCCACAAATTTCATAGTTAACTAACATCTTTTAATCACTTTTTATCCCACACATTTTTTTCTTTCAAAATCTCATTTTAGTGGAGCCAAACAGGGGCAGAATAAAATTCTTGTTCTTCCCTTAGATAAACATATTTCACTTCTAACCGCTTAAACTTCGAGATGAAATGAAAGAGATTGACATTAAACTAAGAGAATAACTATTTAGAACTTGTTCTTCCCTTTGAACAAATATGTTTCATTTTAATAATTTAAACTTTTTAGAAAAGACAGTTCAACATGATATAGTCAAGAGCGTGAGTTCAAGTCTTGTCGCCATCAATTTATTAGAAATATGCACATGTTTAATTAGCCTCTTGATGAAAAATTGAATTTGACGTATACGTGAATGACTATGATGAATACTAAATTTAAATAAATAGATGCGCTGCTTTTACAATAACTTAAACTTTTAGATGAGTGAGGTTCAATAACAGTGATTTAAAGAATATACTTTTTGAATAAAAGTCTAGAATCAGTCGACTTGGTCCATTGATCCAAAGAAGTAAAAAAGTACTTTTGTAGTCGTAAAATAAATCTAAATACTCTCTTTCAACTACTTCAACCCGAGCATGATAGTTTACTTTTTGATTTATAAGAAGCAATCGAGGAATTAGTAGCGAGTTATCAACCAAATATTTAGGTATCACCTAAATATGTGAAGCAATATTTAAGTTGGTACGGTGTCACATTTTTCAAATATCCAGCACGTAAAATTTTCTATAAATGGATGATAATGAAAATGTACGACATAAACTCTTTCATAAATGGAGATGAAACTCGAGCTCCTTAAATTTCATCATAATGGGGAGCCAAACAAGTAATATCCGATGCACAATCTCATAATAAACTTATTTATTTTGAGGCGGGATTGAATACTCGGATCGAATCAGAGTTCACGTCGCCCGCCCTGAACAAATAGAAGGTGTGGGCCACAAATCGTACATAAGCCGCTGGGGGTCGCACGATAGAAGAACACCCAACGTAAAGATACACACTCCTCCATGTGAAATATTCATCTTCATTCGAGGGGTTTCAATAATTACTGAATTATGCATGACAAGTTCGGTTTGTCAAATTTCCATTTCAATGTTTTCCCTCAAATTCTGGCTTTAATCAGAATGGAATGATGTAAGCCAGCATATAAAAAATATGTAGGTATAATTAGAAAGCAACACTCATTTGAATCCAAGATCTTATCCTAAATCTTATATATATTATTTATATATAAACTAGCTTTGGAAGATAATATCTAGCCTCATCTATGAAGTTATATTCACAAGAATTCAAATATTCTATGTACAAATCAAAATTTAGGTCATCAGACACGTTTCTTCATCTACCTGCTTTCGTATATTTGAGTGAGGGCGGTGGCGTTATGTCCCCTGTGTATAAGTTCATTTAATAAATTGATATCTATGGCTCCATATTAAGTCGCTGTTTGGGCTCCATTAAAATCAAATTTTAGGAAAAAATATATTTTGGAAAAGTGATTTTTTTTAAGAATGTGTGGTTAAAAAAGAAACAAAAAATTTAAATTTACGTCTAATATTATTTTATTGGAGAATGTATGTTTGAGAAGATGAATTTGAAGTCACGTCTGAGTCCTCGGAGGTACAATAAATTATTTATGATGTCCGTTGTGTATTCTTGATCGTCGGATATCATGAGAAAGAAATAGGAAGAAGTGTTGTGGAGTACCAAGACATAGGGGTTGGCCAGCGAAGGCGGTTTATTTAGTACCAGATATACGGAGACGCGTTCCAACATCTTTGAACTCTCCTCCACAGCGACTAACTCGAAGTCATTAACAAAGAAAGGAAGGCAGCCTCTCTTTCAGTAATGCTTTATCTGGTAATATCGAGCANAAAGGTGGAAAATGGATGGAAAGAAAATATTTTACAGGAAATTGATTTGCCTAGAAGTTGTTTTATTGGGAATTGTAATTAATCGTATTTGATTGGTATAATTTTCCACTTGAAAAATGTTGAAAAATTGGTATCCGTTTGACTTCATTTTTTATGGAAATTGTCCATTAAAATTATAATTTTTTCTATTATTAGGTCTAATATTTGTTCCAATTGCCAAAAAAAAAAAATTTAAAAATTTTTACCATATTGAATATCATTCGTTTGATTTTATTTTGCATGGAAATTATCAATAAAATTTATACATTTTTTTATCATTATATCTAGAATTTTTTCTAATTGCCAAAAAAAAAAAAAAAAAAGGTGAAAAAACAATTTCCACAAAAACCAAGAGAAAACAAATACATTGAAAACAAAGAAAAAGGG